TCACTGCTCACAGCAACCTCCAACTCCTGGGCTCAAGCGAGTCTTCTGCCTCAGCCTCCCAAGTAACTGGGACCACAGGCGCCTGCCACAACGCCCGGCTATTTTTTTGGTTGCAGCCATCATTGTTGTTTGGCGGGCCTGGGCTGGATTCAAACCTGCCACCTTAGGTGTATGTGCCTAGCGCCTTAGCCGCTTGAGCCACAGGCACTGAGCCACATGGCTAGTTTTTCTATTTTTTTTCTATTTATAGTGGAAATGGGATCTCACTCTTGCTCAGGCTGGTCTTGAACTTCTGAGCTCAAGCAATCTAGCCACCTCAGCCTCCCAGAGTGCTAGGTTTACAGGTGTGAACCACCACACCCGGCCTCATTTGAAACAAGGCACAGAGAAGTGAAGTGAAGTGCCCCAGGTCACATGGCAAAAGAGTGAGGAAACTGGAACCCCTTCTGTTACCCATGCCGATAATGGCCTCTATATACAGAACACCCCCTTCCCATCCCACCTCTGCCATCAATCACCTCTGCCCCATCCTCCCACTAACATCAGTACTTCATTTTCTTAGGTTCCAACCCAAACAGGCTATTGGAAAGAAGCTCTGCAAACTCCACCTCCTGCCCCTATGGTCTGCCATAGTCCCCACCTCCTGCCCCAAAACTCAGCTCCATGTTCCCTACACACAGCCAAACCCAGGCAGAGGGGCCTCTACTATCTTGCCTCCTCCCACACACTGCTGCATTACCACCCTCAGGCACCCACACACCCGGTATTGCACGTCACACTCACTGCAGTTACTATCAGCTTTCCTGCTGGTAGAGCCAGTGGCCATTTCTTGGACCTTCTCATATGTGACTTTTGGCATCACCTTCCGTCACCTCCCAGGTCTGCCTCTTTTCCTTTATCACTCTTTTTTTTTTTTGGTGACAGAGTCTCATTATGTTGCCCTCCATGGAATGGCATGGCATCATAACTCACAGCAACCTCCAATTCCTGGGCTCAAGTGATCCTCTTCTCTTAGTCTCCCAAGTAGCTGGAACTACAGGCACCCACCACAATGCCCAGCTAATTTTTAGAGACTGGTCTCACTCTTGCTCAGGATAGTCTTGAACTCCTAGACTCCAGCAACCCATCTGGGCCTCCCAAAGTGTTAGGATTACAAGCGTGAGCCACTGCAGCCAGCCTTTATCATGCTCTCAATGTGCTGTCCTTCCTGGGCTCATAGGAGGCCAAGGAGCCTTCTAAACCTGACAGTGTCCATCCCCTGCCTAGAACCTACCATGCTCTTCAATGCTCCTCTTCAGGTAGTCTGAGCACCCCTGAACCTGGCATTCACAGCCCTGCCCCTGCATGGCCTGACCATGCCCACTGCTCCTGTCTCCTCTCACTCAATTCAGCTCAGATCTCAGAGAAACCCAAACTGAAATTCTAGCTTTGCACTCTCCTAGCTGAGTGGCTGTAAGCAAGCAATTTTGCCTCCTTGAACCCTAAAATGGAGACAGTATTATTGCTATTATCAGGGATGACTTCATGATCTAGTCCCTACTGGCCACTCCAAGCCTTGTGCTTCCCCATGGGACTCGAGTTCAGCACTCTTTGAACTGAGAGTCCAACCAAAAACACAGGTGAGGGCAGGAGCTGGGGTAGTTTTAGTTACTGCTATGCCTCTAGCATAGCCCTCCTCAAGCTCAGGCTTAGAGAAAACCTTAGCCAATGGAGGATGAACAAATCTCCACTGGGAAAGACAGCTGGGATGTGACTCACGGAACATGGCGTCCAGCCTGACCAAGCAGCTGATGAAGTTGTCAAAATCCATGTTGCCTTCCTCATCAGAGTAGCGCCGGATGATCATGTTATAGAGATGTTCATTCAGACGAAACCCTGGGAATGGGTTAGTCCCGTAGGTGTGGAGGCCACATGGCCCAAGCCACTCCCTCAAGATTCCAGCTCAGGCTATCTAGTGGGGGCTGCCCCATTAATCCTACCCCAGCCCTACCATGTCTTTGCCAGCATACCTGCTGCCTCGAAGGCCCCTGGGAGTTCACTGCTGCAAATGGTCCCGGATTGGTCAACATCAAACTGTTTGTATATGGCCTATAGGGACAGAGGACAGGGTCCATCTGAGCATCATGGGGCATATCGCATGGCTTGGGGGTCTGAGTGCCAGGGATTTCAGAGGCTGCTGCATACCTGCCACCTTTTGATGTTATTCCAAAGGTATTTGAATTCCTCAAAGCCCAGCTTGCCTGTGGTATCACTCTGGTGGGAGGGTGTTAAGTTGTGACAGCTGTACCCAGATGTCCATACTGTTTGTACTGTGTTTGGGATGATGGTATGGCAAACAGGAGACCCCAAGCTAAAACTCTAGCTCTCATCCAAACTTTGTCATGACACCTGGCATGTGTTTTTATTTTTCATCTTATTCATATATTTAATTTATCCTGTATTTCTATATAAGGACTCTCTTTGAACATAACCATGGAGAATTATATTGTACTTCTCCAAACTATAAATTATACTGAAATGCTCCAAATTATAAATTCCTCACTTAATAAAAGAATTATTCAGTTCTCATTTATAAAATTCTTTTTTTTTTTTTTTTTTGAGACAGAGCCTCACTATATCGCCCTCAGTAGATTGCTATGGTGTCACAGCTCACAGCAACCTCCAACTCTTGAGCTTAAGCAATTCTCTTCCTTCAGCCTCCCAGGTAGCTGGGACTATAGGCGCCCACTACCATGCCTGGGTATTTTGTTATTGTTGTTGCAGTTGTCATTGTTGTTTTAGTTGGCCCGGGGCAGCTACACACTGTAGCTCAGTGGGTAAGGCGTCAGCCACATACACCAAGGCTAGCATGTTCAAACTTGCTGCCCTCAGACAGAGTCTCATTCTTTTGCCCTAGGCAGAGTGCTCTGATATCGTAGCTCACAGCAACCTCAAATTCTTGGGCTCAAAGCCATTCTCTTGCCTCAGCCTCCCAAGTAGCTGGGACTACAAGTGCTCACCACAACACCTGGCTGTGTTTTCCATTTTTAGTAGAGATGGTGTTCCACTTTGCTCAATCCACCCAGCTCAGCCTCCCAGAGTACTAGGGTTGTAGACATGAGGCATCACCCCTGGCCAGCTTGTCTTAAAATTCTACAGAAGGAGGTGATAGTAAGTACCTGCTATATTCATGATAAAAACAGAATGAGATATTGGTATACACTTAGCTCAAGATTTCGCATTTAATAAATTCTCAGTAAATAACAATGATAAGCAAGACTTATCAAGTTACCAGACACTGTGCTAAGCTCCTCAGGAATATCACTTTTCTTTTTTTTGAGACAGAGCCTCAAGCTGTCGCCCTGAGTAGAGTGCCATGGCATCACAGCTCACAGCAACCTCCAACTCCTGGGCTCATGAGATTCTCCTGCCTCAGCCTCCCAAGTAGCTGGGACTACAGGTGCCCGCCGCAACGCCCAGCTATTTTTTGGTTGCAGCCGTCATTGCTGTTTGGCAGGTCCAGGCTAGATTCGAACCCTCCAGCTCAGGTGTATGTGGCTGGTGCCTTAGCCAGTTGAGCCACAGGCGCCAAGCCAGGAATATCACTTTTCTTACTGAGTCCTCAAGACACCAACCCTACCAAGATTATTCCCAGAGAAGGAAATACCCAAAGCTGGAGAAAAATCTACCTAAGATCATAGTAACAGCTAATATGTACAGACTACTTACTAGGAGCTTCACACTGTACTAAACTTTTTGCATGTAACTCCAATTTGGCATCACCATTATCACTGCCCTCTTTTACAAACAGGGAAACTAAGGCACAGAGAGATTCTCAGTAACCTGGCTAAAGGAAAGAGTTTTGATAATTTTACTCTATGCAATACATGTGATCACATGACATGTATATATGTGCGCATCTGTATTATCTTACCAACTGAATGTGCATATATTCAAGATCAGCTAACAGCTGGCCCATGTGCAAATACACACATACATTCCTGTGCATATACCTTCATGTATGTGCGCCTGCTCTTTAGTACGTGTCTATATGTGTGTATGGTGTTCTAAGCTAGGCTTCTCTTTTTTTTTGCAGTTTTTTGGCCAGGGCTGGGTTTGAACCCACCACCTCTGGCATGTGGGGCTGGCGCCCTACTTCTTGAGCCACAGGCGCCACCCCCCTAAGCGAGGTTTCTCAGGCAATCCACCTGCCTCAGTCTCACAGAGTGCTAGGATTACAGGCATGAGTCACTGTGCCCGGCTATACTCCATTTTATGTGTGAGGAAACTTCAGACAAATAACTGCTTCTCTGTGAGCTCAGGAGTTCAAGACCAGCCTGAGCAAGAATAAGACCCTGTCTCTAGTAAAAATAGAAAACTAGTCAGGCATAGTGGTGCATGCCTGTAGACCTACCTATTTGGGAGACAAAAGCCAGAGGATTGCTCAAACCCAAGAGTTTGAGGTTGCTGTGAGCTATGACACCACAGCACTCTACCCAGGGCAACAGAGTAAGACGTGCTCTTAAAAAAAAAGGAGTTTAAAAACCTGTCCAACGGGGTAGCTGCGAAGGTTCAGTCAGTTAATGTCAGTGTAGTGCCAGTGGTGACAGCTCGAGTTATTATTTACTGCCACATGTTTATAGGTGAGTGTGTGTTCTAATGTGAGCATACCATGTCTGGCAATCAAAAACATACTCTCAAAAAACTCCCTCTTTTCCCAGGACCTCCCCCAGACTATCCCCAAGGATACATCCATCACGGCCACCATGCTGCGACATGTGTCAATGCCAAAACCATCAGTCTTCAGATCAGGGTCTGTGGAGAACAGGTTGAAAGTCAGAGGACAGACATCACAGCCACCCCCACCCCTATGCCTCTGACTCTGCCCTATGCCTCAATCCTGGTCACTCACGTCGAGTCACAACCTTGTTGAGAATGTTCATAAGTTCTGTGGCACTGACTTCCATGTCCTGCAGGCAGAAGTTAGAGGTGACTGAAAGGGGTGTAGGCATCATGAAGAAGAAAGGGAACTTCTGGATCTTCAAGATCAAGTGTATATGCACAACGGCAGCCCAGGGGAAGACGCCAGGCCAGGGCCCCAGGTTACTTACATCTCCAGCCAGCTGGGCAAAGAGTCTCCGGAACTGCCGGACCTCCTCACTCTCGTTGGCCTCAATGTTGGAGTAATGTGTACGTGGGGGCTGCAAAGGGAGGAGATCTCAAAGAAGGTAGGGAGAGGGATGCCCAGACCAGGACAGCGCCCTATACCCAAGCACCCTAGATGGGAAGGTCAGAGTGGCCTGGGTGGCCTGCTGATCAGAGGAATGGGGGTGATTAGCAAGAGGAGAGTGAATATGTGTGACATGGCTAGGACCCGGGGCTATGGGGACACGGAAAGGGAGGGTCTTAGTGACAGAGGAATTTTGTAAGATGAGGAAGGTGGGTCTTCTCTAAAGAAACAGGGGTGGGGCCTGAAAAGGGGTCTCTAGTTTTCAGAGGGCGGCTTACCGGGGGCTCAGGGTTGTACTGCGCAGCCGCCTCACTAAGAGGAGACAAGGAGGAGTTAGCGCCAGGGGGCGGGGCATCCAACGGGCAGCGCCCGCGGACAGCCAGCTCCAGCCTCCCAACCCCAGCCTGCCTACCACCTTCCTTACCTGGTCACTGCGCCCCCCATTCTACTGTCTCATTTGCCTCAACTCACACTGCCCTGCTCTTGCCCCTCCTCTCCCTGCATCAGGCTAACCCCATCCATGAAGAAAGCCACGGACCAGCCCCTTCAGTAAGTGCCACTACTGCCATGGCACACGTACCCCATGGCAGTATTCAGAATTATCTTGGCCCCATTCAACCCAAACCCCACCCAATATGTCCAATAGCGTTCGAGGGCTCACTTGTTAGAGGCTCTAACCCAGCTTCCCAGGGCCTCACCCTATTTAGGTCCCATATGCCCAGGACTCTTACTCTATCACCCTCTCCTCTGAATTCCTGTCTTCCCAACATCCTGTCCCAGCTCCATTAAGTCTCCACTCTTTGAGGGATCCCTGTGAAATGGCCGTGGCTAATTAAATCCAGCAGATAACTCGCCCTACCCCTACCCTTTCCAGGGCATTTTTCTCCATTAACCCTGCTAATTCTAGGCCAGTCCAGTCCATACTGGGACATTTCCTTTGTCTCGATAAGCCTCAGCCTCTCCTGGGCTCACCTCTCCTTGACTTAACTAAGACAGCCGGCCGCTCCCCTATGTCAAGCCCCGCCCATATGAAGTGTCACTCAAAAGCATTGGCTCCGCCCCTCCAACGTTCATCTCCAGCTGAGCCAATGCAGGCCGCACTCAACACCATTAAGCCCTACCTCCCAAAACTCTACTCCCTCCCCTCAGGGCCAATATTCTCTTTATTGACCTGTACAACTAGCCGACGCCTATGCCAAGTCCCGCCCTCATGAACAGACAGCCGCATCATTAGGGTGGTTCTCCTTGAGGTTAGCATCCCTGTACAGGCCAGCCCAGCCTAATTAAGGCTTCCAGGTTAACTTCCAGGTTATGCCCATCTATTCTCATTGGGCCACGCCCCTTCTCCAGGCCCCGCCCCCGGTTAGACTCCTCCTTACCTAATGGCGCTAATGACTCCGCCTAGGATG